AAGCATTTTGGTATAGGGTTATATGTGGCCAAGAGTCAGGTGATGAGGGTGTCATTTACTATGCGGATACCATATTAAATTACACAAATGATGACAAATGGTCGGCCAAGAAAGGCTTTACCTAAAAAGGACTAAAGGTGTGCAGATAGCAAAAAATGACGCTAAGGGGTGTGCAAATAGTCATTCTCTTAAATTAAAATGGGGCCGAGCAGAGAAGTACTATGTGGCTAGGGTGGTTTTAAAGGGGGTGTTTTTTACTGTGGCGATACCATATAAAATTGCACTGGTATTGAAAATGGACTGCCAAGGACTAAAATCTTAAAGGGGTTTAGACTGCTGTGCCTGTTACCAGCCAGTTCTTCAAGTAAAAGAGTGCATTTCAACGAATATACTAAATACAAAGGGGGAAAGAAAAAGAAAGGAAAGAAAGCATGAGACAGGAACCTTTGTGGGGTCCTGCCACGTCAGACAAACAGTGCAAACTTTTATAAGGCGGAAACTTCCGGCAGAAAGAAGACAGTCCAGTCTAGATTGTCACATTACCCCCGACTAAAACTGCATTCAGTCCCTGAATGCTGGCTTGTCATCATCAACATGGTCCTCGAGAACTCGATCTTCTTCATCCGCATCTAACCATTCCTATAAACGCATAGGGGGACCGGGCTTTGCAGGATACTGCGTATAGAGCTCCTGTACTTTTCTCGGTGCATGTTTCATATCATAGGCAGGATACCACTACAGATCGAGGTCATATCCTAACCACTGCACTCTGTACTGTAGATTCCGGTAATATGTCCTGACACCTAAAATAATCTCGACCTCCCATTGTCTGTCTCTCTAACCTGTATCGGTGGAGGCGGATCCACACACTATCCTTCTAAGGGCTCCGTTATAGCTGCCTTTCGCAACTTACTTGGATAAAAGATAGGGTGTACTCGAATCGCTTCCGGTAGATCTATCTTGTAGGAATTGCCTACTTTTTCGATTATCTTATACAGTCCATTGGCTAGGTGTGAAAGCTTTCTACTTAGCCGATCCTAAAGCTAGTCCTTTATTACAAAGAACACCAAGTCACTAACCCTAAAATCCTCTTCCCGTCGGTGCTCATTTACTTATCGAATTTATAGCTATTATAACTTTGTAATTTACTCTTTAGTTTTAGTCTAGATATCTTATAACTCCGAGAGTATTTATACCGCGTCTTACTCGTTAGGAGTCACTATCCCTCGGTCCTTCTAATCGAATGTCATTGAAGGTTTATATCCCCTTTCCACGAAGAAAGGTGATTTCTTCGTTATGTCCTAGGGAAGAATCGAGGCCGCGAAATCAACCATTAGTAGGATCTTTGACTAGTTATCCTAACTCTATTCGATATACGGCCCTGACCTCTAGGCTATATACTGATTTACGACCTCACTCTATCTATCCGTCTAAGGGTGATATATAGTTGATAGTGTCCTCTTGATTCTAAGGATCCTATAGAATTCGGTCTAGAACTCGGAGATAAACTGACCTCTACGATCGGAGATAATTGTCTCTAGAATTGCTATGATTCGAATAATATAATCAATAAGTAGTCGGGCTATTATTCGTTTTGCGTTTATATCCTTATAATAAGGGATAGATATCAACCGGCCCCTGAATTTTTTTTTCAAAAAACACGGACCCCCGCAAGCGAGGGTCCGCCATCCATTCGTAGGGGATCACCCAAACGTCGTTTTTTTTCAATTTTGTCATTTTGATTTTCATCCTCTACCACGCCGCCCACCATGCCTAAAACCAATAAAGAGATAGAGATTGAGATTGAAAAAGCAATAGACTCTCTCTCTAATCAATCTAAACTTAATATTGCAAAAACTGCGCGAGAATTCGCGGTTTCCGAGAGCCGGCTACGACGACGATGGAAAGGTGGAAAATCGCCTTTCCAACGACAACCCAATGGCCGGAAGCTTACTCCTATACAGGGGGGGGGCTTTATGTGATTATATTAATTACTTTGACGAGGTTGGAGTATCAATAAACCGCCGTTAAAATTGGTATGGTAGCCGATTCAATTCTCGAAGAAGATCACTTTCAAACCCACCCTGATAGCCGCGAAAAACCCCCTGAAACTAGCGATCATTGGCTAAAACGTTTTCTTAAACGTCAATCTGAGTACTATGTTCGACGCTCGCGAGCTCTTGATGTTGAAAGAAGTGCTGCACTTGATAAATCAGTGGTTGAGAGGTGGTTTAAAGACTACGAGCGGGTTATCACTGAGCATGGGATTTGCCAACAAGATATCTACAATTTTTCTTACTCTCGTATATAAGCGATATACTACAACCTCTTAATGTCGGCGTGTTTAACGTGTATAAGCACTGGTATAGTGAGGCAGTTGAAGCGGCTACAATGACTAATTGCCGCAAATTTTCAAAGGATAAATTCCTACACTCAATTGGCGAAATTAGGCGCAAACCTTCCGGCCACATACACTTAAGCTTGGTTTTAGATTAACTAGCCTTTGGCCTATTAATTCTAAGCTTATTACCGATCAATTAGAGTCGTACGACCCATTTAATGAAAGTCTACCCCGGTCAACTACACCATCAACTACCTCACAAAACACCGAGTTTAGCACTCCAAAAACCGCCGAAAAAGTGAGAAGGATAAGCCTACGAATTAATAAATACAACCCTACCACTCAGCGCTTCAAAGAGGGGCTAGCAAAGCTTGTGAAAGGGGCTGAGGCCTAGGCAACATTAGCTGTTCAGCTACAACGAGAATTCGATTCCACACAAGCTATTATGGGGGCACTCCACGCTAGATACGACGCATCTCGTCGTCATTTTACGTTTTACCGGTATCATTCATTCATCCCAAGT